ACATCTACTTATTTTATCTATGAACACCAAACAACCTTGAGGAAAGAGAGTTCCCTTTTCCTTTATGGGCTCCAGGGATCAAACCCAGGTGGTAAAGCTTGGTGGCAAGTATCTTTCTTACTGAGCCATTCCAATGGCCCTTCATTCTTTTATCATTAGTTACACACACACACACACACACACACACACACACACACACACACACACACACTTTTTTTTAAGACAATATAGAAGGGGTTGGCTTAGAGTTCACAATGTAGCCCAGGCTGGGTTTGAGCCCAACTCCCCATGCCAAATGCTGGAATTACAAATGTGTGCCACCACACCTGGCTATTACTAAATAAATGTAATTAAAATTTTTCATTGGTAACAGTATCATTTTAACTTTGTTACATGGATTTGTTTATTTATGTGTATGTGTGTGCACCAGCTTGCACGTGGAGGTCAGATGACAATTTCCTGGAGTTGTCCTCTCCTTCCAGCCTGGAGACCCTGAGATTGAACTCAAGTGCCAGGCTTGGTAGCAAGCACCTTTACCAGCTGATCTCACCAGCCCCATTATTTATTTTTAACTTCATAGTTTCATATTTATTGGTAGTGTATACTGTCCTGTTGATTTTTATTGTATTTCTCTATCTGGTTTGTTTTGATGTTGTTACTGTTACAGCAGTTTTCCTCCTATCTGAGCAGTACTTTGGACTGAACCCTCAAAGGTGCTCACTAAGACCTCCAGCTAATGCCAGAAGTGCTAGCCACCTATAGGTGCACTTATCACAGCATGGGCAACACAGACACCCAAGAAACAACAAAAAAAAAAAAAAGCAAGGCAGCACAAGTCTTCCAAAAGTCAGTAACTCTTCCAAACAGAAGCCAAAAGTATTGAAATGATTGGAATGACAAGCAAGAATTCAACGTTTTGGCTGTTGTTGATGAGAGAACCAACTGTGGTAATTCACACTTGTTTGTGTTTGTTTTTAATGATTTATTTATTTTTATTTCATGTGCCTTGCCTATGTTTATTTATGTAGATCACATGTATGCCTTGTGTGTCAGGAGACCAGAAGACATTATTCCCTAGAACTAAGATTATAGACAGCTGTGAACTGAACCTGAGTCCTCTATAAGAGCAACAAGAGACATTTCTCCAGGACCCAAAGTTCAAAGATTCAATGGCGCAATGGAAAGCATCACAATAGACCAAGTGGAAGAAAGAATATCAATGAATGAAGACAAGGCTAAGGAATTACTATGTCCAGATAATAAAGAAGAAATGAATGATTATGATTACAATATTCAAGACGAACAACAAAAGATACCAAACCTAGAAATCGGTGCTATAAAAGAAGGAACTAAGATGCAGACTAAGGACACAGAAAACTTTCAGTCCAGTCATGGCAGAGTATTTTCTAAAGCTAAGGAAAGAAATGGCATTGAAACATGACACATTTAGAACCCTGAATAGACATGACCAGAAAAGAACAAGACCCAAACAAACTCTCCCAGGCTGTGCTTCACTTTCATTCCTCACTTTTCCTTCTTTCCTCCCTCTTATATGCTGGCCAAGGGCTCTACTACTGAGTCACATCTCCAGCCCATCAGGTATAGTAGTGCGCTTCTTTAATCCCAGCCCTCAAAAGGCCGAGGCAGGCAGATCTCTGTAAGTTCTCAATATTAAATACCAAGTTTCATACCAACCTGAACTAAATATTGAAACCCTAACTCCAAAAAAGGAAAATAAATACAAATACTTATTTGTACATGCAGACAAAACTGTAATGACTTCACCTGTCCATAACTACACCTAATTCACACTAATTTTGAGTTCTCATGCAGTCTAGTTAGAATTCTCCCCCCAACTCCTTTAAATCCCTCTCCTTCCAAAGGTGATTACATCCTGGGAGGTAGAAAAAACACTTCTCACAGTTGTCAACAGCTACCAGCACCTTAACATCTCAACAGCATTTCATGCATCCAACAACCTCCTTTCTGAAAAACTTCCTTGCCCTCCATAACACAAGACTTGGGGAATTTGGGCTTCTATCCCTCCCTCGCAACACTCCTCAATATTACTAAATAAATAACTGTTCCCCCTTTTTTTTTTCTTTTCTTTTGGTTTTTGAGACAGGGTTTCTCTGTGTGGCTCTTGCTATCTTGGAACTCACTCTGTAGACTAGGCTGGCCTCAAACTCAGAAGATCCATCTGTCTCTGCCTCCCAAGTGCTGGGATTAAAGTCATGTGCCACCATGACTGTAAATAAATATTTCTTAAAAGACTCAAAATGATTAACTTGACTGAAGACAATAGGACTATCAAAAAATATCATTATAACTAAAACACATATATAAGTGTGGTGAGAATAAAAAGGTTTGCTTTTTTAATTTCCTCACTCTACAACTTGCTTAAATTATCTTTCTTTTTTATTCACAGGATAGAGCTTTTTAAAAGCTTTTTTTTATTTTTGAGACAAGGTCTCCCTATGTAACCCAGAATGGCCTCAAACTTGACATTCCTGCCCCAGTCTCCAAAATGCTAGAATCATATGTGTATGCTTTAAATACACACCTGGCTTTAAATTACTTCTTTTTTCTGACAGTCTTTCTGGGATACTGTGTATCCAGGCTGGCCTTGAACTCATATCAACATCCCCTTCCTCAGCCTGGCAAATGCTAGGATTACATACTCTGCTATCATCTCTATTTAAAAATCTTTCAAATCACTTTTATCAATTGTATATATGGCTTTATTAACTGAGGAATTCATAGAAAATCTTAAGAAATGCTTACAATGAGGGGCGGTGATGGCGCACGTCTCTAATCCCAGCACTAGGGAGGCAGAGGCAGGCGGATCCCTGGGAGTTCGAGGCCAGCCTGGTCTACAAAGCAGAGTTCCAGGACAGGATCCAAAGCTACACAAAGAAACCCTGTCTCGAAGGGAGAAAACAGAAAAAAGAAAAAAAAAAAAACAACAACAAAAAAAAACTGACATCAGGGCATAGGAGAGGGGAGGCATATCTGTTTCCAACATCTGGGAAACAGAAGCAGGAGGATCAGGAGTTAAAGGTCATCATCCTCAAACTACATAGGACATAGTTCAAGGCCAACCTATACAACATATATACATAATGAGTACATGACGTTTGCTCTTTATTAGAAAATGCTTGTCACTGACAATGACGGAAAGCAGATCAATAGTTGTCTGGGAAAGAAGGGATTGCAGAAGTTTCATACAACAGTGTGTAGAAAGACTATTATGCAGAAGCCATCCTATTGTTTTCCCTACATCTACATGTTGAGTCTATAAGCAACGACATGTGGTGAGTTGTATGAGGAAAAAAACTATCTTAAAGTGAAAACATTCTATGTAAACTAACGGAAAAATACACCAAGAGCATGAGTTTTAAATGTATATGGGCTTCATGTTTAGACTCACTTTTTTAGAGGTTTATTTTTTACTTAAGTGTGTGTAATTGTATGACTATATGCCACATGTGTGCAGGTATTGGAAGAAGCCAGAAGAGGGTGTCAGATGCCCTGGAACTGGAGTTCCAAGTGGTTGTGAGCCACTCTGTGGGAACTGAACTTGTGTCCTCTGGAAGGGCAGCAGCACTGGACAGCTCTCAAGCCCTGAAACGCTGTCATTTCACTTGACCGTCATGTAGACTTGGTGTTAGGGTGGTCACCTGTGCTGGAGATGAACCGCAGCACCAGAGCGCTTCCCGCTTAATTGGTGTTGCCTGGAATTTCCTGAAACGGAATACAAGTGTTTGGCTGTCTTTTCCACATAACTTAAGCACGGTAACATAAATAAAGTAAGAGTTGGCGACAGCAGGAAACTTTGAAGATGGCAAAAATTGAGATGCCTAAGTTTTAATTACAAATGCCAAATGGTGGCAGAAAAGATATCCAGTTACCACATCCTGACCCGTAACAAAACTGCCGTCTTTCTAGATATATGCTGAAATCTCCACATAAGCGCCATCCTAAAACTTGCCTGCTTTGTGTTTTGTTTTGTTTTTGAAGCATAGTTGTAGTTTAATAAAGCTACTTTAACACAGATTTTAGCTCAAGCGTTAAGAGAGAGTGGCTCAAAAGAATGACAACCAGAAAGCAAGGGTACGGGCTTCTCAGAGGAAAAGCCCCAAGCACAGGTACCAGCTCCTCAATGGAGAGCCATCGCTCACTGTATGCTGGATGATGTTCAAAGCTACAAAGAGGGAAAGGAAACGTTAATGCCTGACTGAAAACTCAGAAACGGAGGCTTAGCAGGGAAGATCTGCAAACAACTGTCCGATAATTATTCTAAAACAGTAAATCCAGTGTCAACAGTTCGTGCAATTCTTCCTCAATTTTATGATAAAAAAAAAGAAAATGCTTTTGGCTCCTAGGTCCAGGCGACATAGTTCCAAATTGCTATCTAACCTTGTTGCTGGGAACTGTGGAGTCTGGTCCCTGGAGGCTACCATCTGCAGTGTCTCTACAAATTCAGAGAACTGGGTCTCGGCTACTTCATGTGTATTCCCTGGGGCATATGTGTGTGGTCCAAACTTACTAAACTGTACATCTGTAAGTCACTGTCCCTCAGCCAAGCAGCGGCACGGGCCTAGAATCCCAGGTGTTCTGGACGCTAGAAAAAGCAGCTCTGAAGTTCGAGAGTGAGGCTACTCTCGGTCAAACTCGAGATGAAAACACTCCACCAAAGTCCACGGAAAAGAAAACCCAAGACTCCTCGCTTCCCAGCCTCTCACTTCTCCTCAATCTCAAGACTCGCGCTCCGCTCCTGTGCCCTTCCCGAGAACAAGTCTCGCCAGACAGCGAGACGCAGCCGCAAAACTGCCACAGAGGTTCGCAAACTTGAAGCTCCGGGAGCCTCCTGTGCCGCTCCCGTCCGCACTGCTCAGCCCTGCAGGAGCCCGGCCCGGCCGCCGCCGCCGAGCGCGCGGGTCCCCAGGCCCGGCCGCGGCAGTGGGATTCGAACCCGCCCGCAGCCCAGTCCCGGGTACCTGCCACCGGCTGGCCGCGCCGCGGACAGTTCAGCCACCGCGGCGGGATCTTGTTGTAAGCCATGTCTGCGCCGCACACCGCCACCTAGCCGACCGCTCTGGAGCCAGTGGCCCGAACCCCGGCGCCAGCCGCCCCACCCGGCTCCTCAGCGGCGCGCCACTTTCATTCAGGTTCCACTCCGAGGCTCCCGGCGAGCCCACAATGCACTGCGACTTCCGCCCCGGAGGGCCCGCCCCCTTCCTTCCGAGGTCAGGCGAAGACGAAGCTCCGCCCAGGTGAGCGAGTGGAAGCCGCCACGAATTAGAGGGGCGGCTCCACCGGGCCCCGCCCCCCCCACGCCCCGCCCCCTGGGTCTCCGGCACCGGCCTCTGTCTGCCACGCCCCAAGTCTGTTTTGCCTTTGCGTACGCAAATGACAGGAGTCCCTTTTTTCCCCCTGTCTAAAGAAGAGAAACCCCAAAAATAGAAAGAATCGAAGCTTCTTTCCACCTGTGGGCTGACCTGCCACTTTCAAAAGGGTATATTTTACAGGTGAAGGTGCTTTGTCGCTAGTCACAGCTCAAGTTTGGTGTGCCTGCTGGATCTGGGTTTGAAGAGGCATTTAGGAATCCTCCCTTACCGGGATTCAGAAAGTCCTAAAAACCAAGGATTAGGCTATTACAAATAAGGAAATTCTTTATCGGGAAGCGATAGGCAACATGCTCCTGAGGACCCATGAAACATCAAAAATTACTTCCAGAAGCCTTAAGACTGTCATTTATGGAGCAGGCGGCTTTAATGTGTTTTTTAGTTTATTTGTTTTCTTGAGTTTTTTTTTTTAATCTTTTTTGTTTTCTCTATCACAAACGTTTAGGATTTTTGGAAAGTCTCTGTCTTGAAGAAATCACTAATTATATGTAATTAGCAGAGATAGAAAGTTAGCCACTAGTAGGTCAGTGTAGACCAGGAAGCCTTGTGTCTCCCCCTTGAGATTTAAAACACCATATGGAGCCCGGCGGTGGTGGTGCACGCCTTTAATCCCAGCATTCAGGAGGCAGAGCCAGGCTGATCTCTATGATTTCGAGGCCAGCCTGGGCTACAGTGTGAGTCCCAGGAAAGGCGCAAAGCTACACGGAGAAACCCTGTCTCAAAAAAAAAAAAAAAAAAAAAAAAAAAAAAACACTGTATGGAAAGGTAGAGCTATCAGAGCTTGATTGTGACTGTGGCCCATCATGGACAAGCTGGTTCCTCCTTGTAATAGCTTCAGTTGTCAACGTGACACACCTAGGAAGAGGAAACCTCAATTAAGGAATTGATTGGCTGTGGCCATGTCTGTTGGGCATTTTCTTGGTTGCTAGTTAATGGGGAAGCCCAAGCTCACTACCGGCAGTGCCGTTCCTGAGCCGATGGATCAGGGGTTCTCAACCTTCCTAATGCGACCCTTTAATATAGCTCCTCCTGTTGTGGTGACCTCCAACCATACAATTATTTTCGTTGCCACTTCACTGTAATTTCGCTACTGTTATGAATCACAATTAAACACTTTTGAGAATAGAGGCTTGTTAAGGGTTTCATGATGAACGGGTTCAGAACCACTGGCTGGGCCACATAGGAAAGCTAGCTGAGCAAGCCAGGGATGCCAGCCCTTGAGCAGCATTCCTTCAAAGGCTGTGCTCAATTCCTGATTGAATTCCTGCCCTTGTCTCCTTTCTTGATGGACCAGTAAGCCAAATAAACCCTTTCCTCCTGCAAGATGCTTTTAGCCAGTGTTTTATTTACAGCAACAAAACTCAAACCAGAACACGCTTGCTCAAATGAATGGAATCTAAATTCTACCTCTGGCCTTAGGTGAAGAGAGACATGTCATAATCTGGCCCAAAATCTATAATCTTTTTGTGCTATTGTTCACTCCCTTTAGAGTTAATCCAACTGAGTCAGCCAGGCACATGACCCCCACCCACCCAAGCTAATTTGTCTAAAGACATGCTGAGGAGATGGAAGGAATAATTATCTCTTTAATGAGATAATGTACTTAAACATACAGCCCAAGTCCTTCCCCTGATGTAGTTACTTACAGATTTTCACTAATTCTGCTCTGCTTTCTGTGGTTTAATTCAAAAAGCAGATGATATGTTTCTGCCAACTGCAAAAGGCCAGATCAGACCAGATTAAAAACAGATAAAAGCAGGTTTATTGGGCGTGGCTCCCAGGGTGGGTTCACCAGTCCCAAAGAACAGAGCCAGAGAAGCTGAGCACACACACTAAGGCAGGGAGGTTTTATAGACCTTAGGTGAGGAGTGATAATGTACCAGCCAGGAGCTAGGACTATGTCCAAGTATGATAAAAAGCTAGATTCCTGGGTGGGCACCTGGGGGGCATTCTTTGGTTCAGAGTTTTCTCAGCACCAGAGGGGTCGGGGGAAGTCGGGCAGACAGGGTCTCCCATATTGTACAAGAGGGAGCAGGAGGTCCAACAGAACAGCATAACTTTTCTTTCTGCCTGCCGTTTTGTTTTGTTTAATATTGGCCAAAATTCTACACATGCTTGCCCTGACATTATGGATGATCTCATTCCCTCTGTGAAGCCCCCTCTGGTAAGACAGGTTCCTCAGAACATTCCCTCCAAATTGAAGCATTTGCACCAACCGGGAAGGGGAGGCCCTTGAGCCTCAGGAGGTAAACACAGGGTTATCTGAAAACCGGCACTTGGAAAATTACTGAGGGCTGCTCCCCAGCGGTATAGAAAGACGTAAACTATTACTGAGAGGTGAAAAGAGTCTCCACAAGCCAAACTGGAGGATTAAAAAGAGACAGTCAGTCATAGAGCTGCCTAGAGCTCCATAGAAGGAAAGCTCCAGAGTTGTAGATCTCCTGAGTCATCACCCACATCTGGAAGGCTTTCTGGCCATGCAGCTGCTTTTGAGTTACCCCTGCTCCTTGTCAGTAAGCCTCCTGTTAGTGACCCCAATAAAAACCTCATTGGTTCACCAAGTTGGAAGCTGGTATGGTTGTTACTCTGTTGTGGGCTCCCTTTTTAGAGTGAATGGGTGTGTGTGTGGTGTCTCCCCATCAAATGTCCATCACACAACATCCCATGACCCATGGGGCTGCTTGTCCGTCTCCATGGCCTGACCTTAATGCCACTGGCCTTCTTGCTCTCCTCCTTGCTGTTCTCCAGCCCCCTCCTCCCAGCAACTACTAGTGTTTACACATTGCCTGCTTGGTTGGTTTTCTTTGAAATGGTCCCTTGGCTTCTTTCAGCATCTGGTTTGTTTGTTTGTTTGTTTGTTTTTAGTTTGGAAGTTTTTTGTTGATGGTAGTAGTTTTGGGGGTGGAGCTGGAGACAGGGTTTCTTTGTGTAACAGCTCTGGCTATCCTGGAACCAGCTCTGTAGCCCAGGCTGGCCCTTGAACTCACAGAGATCTGCCTGCCTCTGCCTCCCGAGTGCTGGGATTAAAGGCGTGCACCACCGCCCCACCAGTGTCCATTTTTAAATCCATTCCTGCATGGTTGTACTCAGCTCACTATGCCCTTTTCATTCAGCGAAGTAAGGATCCAGCCATAAAATGCTGCCACCCACACTCAAGATAGGTCCTTTCTACCTCAAGTCACCCAATTTAGAAAGTCCCTCACAGTCCTGCCTACAAGCCAGCTCCATCTGAACAGTTCCTCCATGAGGGGCCCTTCACAAATGTTTCTAGATTGACAAGACTAGTAACCATCACAGTGGCAAATTAACTACACTGTAACAGTTTGACTTTCCAAGCACCAATTCTAGAGTTGAACTGCAGGTAAGACTGTAGAGATGATTCCTCAGGGAAAACTACTTGCCCCTCAAGTCTGACAGTGGACAGGGAGAACTGACTCCCAAACGTGTCCTCGGACTTCTATATTTGTGCCATGGCATCTGCATGCCTATACTCAGACACTCATCATATACACAGACACACTTAAATCCTTTTATTGAAAAGAAATTCTTCTGGGTGTGAAGATTCACATCTTTAATCCTAGAAGTTGGGAGGCAGAGACATGCAGATCTCTTGAGTTTGAGGCCAGCCTGGTCTACATAAAAAGTTCCAGATTAGCCAGGACTACACAGTGAGACTCTGTCTCAAAAAAAAAAAAATTACTTCAGAGGGAATAAGATCAATTATTCTGGAACCAAATATGAGTGACCATGGTCCAGTTAGATAAATATAGGTTGCCCCAAATTCCATGTTCTAGTATGGTTAACAGTTTCTACAGTAACAGAACAAAGAAAGTCCTAAATCAACCAGCTTCTCAAATTCATTGGTAGGTACCTCAGGTAGGCAGGTGTATGGCTTTTCCGTTGTTGTGATTAAATTCCCTGACAAAGACAACCAAAGGGGGAAGGGTTTACTTCGACTCAGCTCAGGATCACAGTCCATCATAGTCTCAAAAAACCAAAAAATAAAAAATAAAAATAAAAAGAAATGCAGATTGTTAGTTATCTATAATAATCAAATTTGTAATTATTAATTAGGTTTTCTAGATATACAAAGATATATTTCAATTAGGTAGATAATCTTCAAGCACTTCAAAGATCTACAGATTATGACATTTAAAATGTCACCAGGCGGTGGTGGCTCACGCCTTTAATCCCAGCACTCGGGAGGCAGAGGCAGGCGATCTCTGTGAGTTCGAGGCCAGCCTGGGCTACCAAGTGAGTCCCAGGAAAGGTGCAAAACTACACAGAGAAACCCTGTCTCGAAAAATAAAAATTAAAAATTAAAAAAAATGTTTTAAGAACTTAGACTTTTTTAGCCGGGCGGTGGTGGCGCACGCCTTTAATCCCAGCACTCGGGAGGCAGAGGCAGGCGGATCTCTGTGAGTTCGAGGCCAGCCTGGTCTACCAAGTGAGCTCCAGGAAAGGCGCAAAGCTACACAGAGAAACCCTGTCTCGAAAAAAACCAAAAAAAAAAAAAAAAAAGAACTTAGACTTTTTTAGACAGAGAGACAAGTCTGCTCCTGGCAGCACCTTTACTTCATAGAGGATGATGGGCATCAAAGAAACTCATTATGGAGTTTGCTTTCAATATGGCAAAGGCTAGCCATTTGGGCAAGAAACTGTTCTTGCCTGGACTGCTTGACAGTATGTTGTATAAACTGAACATGCAGGACCCATAGGAAAATGACCACTGAACTTTGCCAAAAGTCGAGATGGTCCTTCAGATTCCTGCTTCATAGAAGAAACTGCCAGACAT